CTCTCCTCTTGTGGCTCAGGTTGTTTGCTGGAAGAGCTCTGGGTAACACGGAGGTCAGCAAGGACCCTTCCACCCACCATGGTCCATGCCGAGTGTCACCATCATCTGTGTGCTGATGTGGTCTCACCCCATGTCTCCACCCCAGTCAGCAGGAAAAGGAAAAGAGAAGTGAATGTGGGACTGGTCACAGACCGCCCTACTTCCAGGAGCCCCAGCTCCCTTGCCTTTGCCCTGGAAGGCCATGTGCCCAACCACAGCTTACAGGTTCTTTACTAAAAGAACAGAATGTGGGAACTGGAGGTCAATGTCCGGCTTTGCCATTGTTGTTCCAGTAAGAACCTCCTTAATGTTGCTCAAATTTCCTGCTAATTTCTGTTTCCAGCTCCTACCATCCTTTACAGTTTCAATGTGGATTGCCTGTGTGCTGCAGTTGTTAGTGGACGATAATATTTTTTATTACACACTTTGTCTCCCTCAACTACAGCATGAGGTTTGCCATGTCCCGAGTCCCCAGGCTTTTTGAGTAAAGTTCTTTGAAACTCCAGTTCTCTAGTTATGAAAGGGGACTTTACCCAGACTTAGAGACACATTGCTCTATCTCTGTGGTCACGTGTGATCACCCCTGTCTGTCCGTACCCTTCTCCTCTCCCCGTAAAGATAGTAACTATATTAGCTGAAGTCCACCCCACCCCAGTATGACCTCATCCTGAGCTGGCTCGTGATTATGTCTGCATGAACCTCATGCCAAATAAGGCCACATGCTCAATATCTGGGGGTTTCTCTCTTAGGGAACACAAAATACCTGTATAGGGAGTCTGTCATTTCTCTGTTGAAGAAGGACCACTTCTAAGAATTTCCTGTGTGGAGGTGGAACCCTATACAATTCCATATCCAATATTTATTTCACAAGATAGCGTGAATGTCTCCAGTCAATCATTCTTGCTTTTTGGTGTTTTATAATTCACAGGTAAAAATGTGATGTATTTATGGTGTGTACCAGGTTGTTCTGAGATGCCTACGCTCCTTGGGGTGGCTAACTTGGGCTAATTAACACATGCATCTGTGTTGTTTGTGGGGAGAACCCATCAACCGCACTCTGTCCACATCTCCTAGGTGCACAGTTAGATTAACCACAGCACCACGGTGCTCAGTAGGGCCCGTGCCTTGCTCCTGCGGTCTCACTGAGATGCCATACCCTGTGACAAACACATCCCTTCTCTTACCTAGCCTTGGCAGTCCCTCATCCTCCCTCTGTCCCTTTGATGTCACATTCCCTAGATCCCACTCCCAGGTGAGATTGGGTGAGACTTGTCTTTCTGTCCCTGGTTTACTTCCCTTAGCATGGTGTCCTTAGGGTTCCTTATGCCCACAGTGACAGGGCTTCTTGCCTTCCTCTCTGCTCAAGTCATCTTTAACCAAAATATGCACCACCAAGCACCCTGCTGGGCTCTACAAGAGAGGAATGTGGACACTCCCAGGGGCTCTGCACACGCAGACCCCGGCCTGGAGCAGGGCCACCACACATACACACACACACACACACACACACACACACACACACACACACACGCATGCACAAAGCATAGCTGAGTGGTGCCTTCAAACCCATGCCACCCCAGGAGAAAGTGACAGAATGACCTCAGTGTCTGACTCTTAATCTGTGTCTGCCAACCAATCCAGAGATGCTAAGATTTCCCTTGGCCAAGTCACCCTCTATCATCTGGAGCCCATATGCCTGATACACAGGTTGGCATGGGAAAGTGGCACTGCCAATGGCACTTTTGCCAAGAAATAGAGACCAACTGAGCCTGTGCCTGCTGTGAGCCACTGGGTATCTCGGAGCATCTTAGCAGAGCTCCCTGTGTGATGCTAAACTAGTCCCCCATGGAGTGGAGAGCTGAGCAATCCTAGAAGGACTTGCTGGCAAAGGTGAGCTATTTGTTCTGTTCTTAGCAAGGGCTGGTGCAATTAATTCAGTGGATGAAATAGTGATCTTTTCCCTCTGTCTGAGAAATCTCTGTTCCTGAGCCACACTTGGTATGTGGCATTTAAGCAGCTGCCTCATTAAGCCAGAGATCTTGAAGAAAATGTTCGCAGAACTGGGATTTTGATAATGAATGTGATGATGTCCAGTGTTGCCCTCCTGGCCCTTTCCCCTTAGTTTCTCATACTTAATGATGTCCTTAATGAGCAGCCAGAGTACAGGAAAATAAAAACACCAGGGGACAATAGGTTCTTGAACATGCAGGGAAAGTAAATTAAGCTATTCTTATTTTATAGGGCCAGCCTCTCAGAGGGCACCTCTGTATATGCCACCATGACACCATGGGGTAGACCTGGAAGGAGCTAATGCCTCACACAGGCGTGTGCACACACACACATGCACACACACACACACACAGTTTGCCATCCCTCAACTCAGTACATTCCAATTTTTGTTCCAAACATTACATTTTGCGATCTGCACTGACTGATCGTTTCTCTGCGCCCACATTCTCAGAATGGCAAGTTAAGCATGGGCCGAGGACCCTGGTGCTTTGCTGATGGAGCTGATGGAAATGTGGTCTCCTCAGTGCAGCATCAGGCCCGCACTCCTGTTTAGTCAGTCTCTGTCCCCACATGTGACTCACCCTGACCTGCGCTAAGCAGACTGAGAAAACAGTATTTCCTTCTGGTCCAAGCACAAATCTAGCAATGAGAAACAAACGGGGATGGATGGGAAAGTGCCAGACACTTCGCCTTTCTTGGTCACCTCTCACTGTGCCCGAGGGATGAAGATACCTGTCCATGTGTCATGTGTGACCTCTCTGGTCTCAGGAGAGGGTGCTGGGTTCAAAGACAAGGAACAGACAAGTCACCTCTCGGGGATTTTGCTGTTTTTCTTGTTTGTCTCCATCCAACATTCTTCTTTCATGAAACTGTGGCTGGGAATTAGCATCCTGCAAAGCCCCTTAGAGGCCCCTGAGCTGACTTCTGCTGGGCTGTCCTCCCTCCTCGTTCTGCCCTCAGACTCTGCTCACTGGCACGATTTCTGTACTGGAGAAGTGTTTGAACAGAATCACCGAAAACTGTACTCAAATGGTTCCTGTTTTCTAGTCGGCCATCTGCTGTAGTCTATTACTCATGGCTCCTGTTGGCACCCTGGCAGGTCAGGTGTCTCTGTGTGAAACCACTTCCAAGTCACCTCATTCCAAGCTTGCGCCTGACAGTGCTGGAAAATCACAACTCTGCAGACTGGCCCACAGGGCTTGTTCTCTTCTGCAGCACCTGCACGGGGCCCCAAAGCCCCGCAGGAGTGGGGCCGCTCTGTGAGATCACAGTGCCACAGGTCAGGGTGTAAGAGCAGGTACTTCCCTGCCTCATTCTCGGGAGCTACATGTGGACCCCCTTCCACTTGGGCCTCAGGGGCAGACCGCTTGATGGGGCTCTGATTCAGGACCCAGAGCTGTCTGAACACTGGGTCCAGGTTAGGGTACGCTAGGGATGGAAGTGGCCCAGCCCTGGCTTCATGGGTCATCAGACTTTGCCATCTGATGCTAGAAGCAGCAGCACGTGTCTTTAGGCTGAGGGTCCCTGAAGGAGGGGTCTCAGATTCAGTCTTCTTTCCTCCCAGGCTATCCAGGTCCCCAACATGAGTATGGGAAAATCTGTACCCATGGTTACCTGGCTTCTCTGCCCAGCCTGGGAAATGTCCTTGTGGCCATGGGCAAAGCCTGAGTCTTCTGTGGCCAGTGTGGCCTGGCTCTGGGTCCTCCCACTGCACCTCCTCTTGGTGGATATGTGCTCCCTGGACAGTGATCCCAGCTCCATTCCAATCAGTTCTGCTCCCACCCAGCCATGCACCAATGCTGCTTCTCAAGTGTCCTCAGCCTCTCCTTGCCCTCCACACTGTGGGGGTACAGGCAGGATGTGGTCCTCACCTACCAGGGACCAGAGCTTCCTGTTGTGTAACTGCAGGAATGATCATCCCAAAATCAGACTCAATGTGAGTTCACTTACACCTCATAGAAGCTCTTTCCATAGGAGAGAGCCTCTTGAGCTCAGAGCCATGGGCATGCGGCTGTGCTGGGACTGTGGCAAGCCACACTCTGGGAGGCTAAGGCTGGAAGGGGACAGATTCAAACAGTTTTGGCAATTCAGTGATGTAACAAGACCCTGAGTCAAAACAAAATAAAAAGCAAGCCAGGGCTGTAGCTTAGTGCAAAGGCCCTGGGTTCAATCTCAGTACAGGAAAAAATAACCACACAGTAGAATTTCTCTCCCTGGATTGTATTTCAGACACTTGGAAAACCTTTGGAGAGTGGACACTGTGTAGCCAGGTGCTTATGGGAAGGGAAGGACTGGGTTGTGCCGCTGGTGGGAACCTAAGAGAGTCCTGGTTCCTAGGAGTCTCTGTCCTTTCTAGGCTGCTGTACTTCATATCTTACTAGAGTGAACTGAACTGTGTCCATCTTTCCCTTAGTGTTTTCTGTTTTATTGGTTTGGTTTTGGTTTGGGGTGCTGAGGATGAAAGCCAAGGTCTTGGGCTTTCTAGGCAGCACACACTACGCCACCTTCCCCTCAGGACACGGCAGAAGCGTATGTTGTCTGCAGGGCTCAGCACGCACCTCTGCGGGCTGGCGTCCTTTCAGGCTGAGAGCTGGGCAGAGCAGCCTTTCCCATGGGGAGCTCTGGTCATAGAAACTGCTGTGCTGCTCTGACCTCCTCTGGCTCTGTGTTTGACGTCATATACAAATCACAAGCTGGAATCACTCATTTCAGAAGGGCTCCCTAGCAGAGACAGGGCTTTGAATAAGCGTGTTTGTTAAATAAGGAGAAATAAGAAATTAACCAAGACATCAATCTTTGGGTTCAGCTGTCAGCCTCAGAGTCATCCTGAGCCTGAGAGAAGGTATCTGAGTGAGGACGGCCGGGCCCTGGAGGCCGTGTGGTCCTCTCCCCTTTAGCACGAAGTCCCCTCCCCTGGGGACTCACCACGAGTCTCTGCTTTGCTTCCCTAGAGGAGATCCTGAAGACTCACATCGCACACTGGTGGTCTCCAGATGGCACAAGGCTGGCCTACGCCACCATCAATGACTCCCGCGTGCCCGTGATGGAGCTGCCAACCTACACGGGCTCAGCGTACCCAGCGGTGAAGCCCTATCACTACCCCAAGGTAGGCTGGCAGGGCGGGAGAGGTGAAGACAAGCATGCTTCTGAGTGAGCAGCAAACAGGAGACATTGACCGTTTCAATGGCATTGACAGTGCCATTGCTGTTGAACTGAGTTTGCTGGCAGATTTGCTTTATTTTAAATAACTGAGCAACTGCTAATCATTTGCCTTTCACCAGAACCAAAATAAATACATCACCCCATTCCTGACTCCGGGTGACAAAATCTCACGTTGTCAGGAGAGCCCTGCTCCTTCCTGGATGTGGCTTCTGTGGAGTCAGAGGGACAGTGGTCACCCCCTGGCCTGGCCTGAGTGGGCTGATGGTGTCTGGCCCCTGCTGTGGTCTTTAGGCCTGTTTCCCCCAGCATTCCTAGGCTGAGGTCTTCACCCCAAGATGGCAGCATGGGGAGGCCAGGTCTTGGAGAAGTACCTAGGTCAGGAACAGACAGTCCTCATGACTGGGATTGGTACCTTGTCGTGAGACTCCAGAGAGTTCTGTCTGCAAATGGGACCAGGAGAGAACACAGTGAGCAGGATCCATTCATGAGAGACAGGTTCAACCAACACCTAGTATACCATCACCTTCATCCTGATCTTCTGTCCCCCTGAACAGTGAAATGCTTATGCCTAGTGCCAGGGCACTCAGCATTTGGCCTTCCATTAGAACAACCCAAGCAGATGGAGACAGTCTTGTTCTGACCCAAAGAACAGCACACCTCCACAGGAGGAGAAGAGATGCCCAACTCTCACTTCCTCACCTAATTATGGTGTCCCGGGCCAAGGGAGTGGATGCTGAATCCTTCACAGCCAACTTGGTAGGAGGGCACTGATGTCCAAGAGTGTGCACACACAGAGCTGTCTGCCCACTGGCCTCTCTAGCTGACCCAAGGCCACTAGGTCAATGAATATGAGACCCTTGCTGCTGGACCCCTGAGCAACTAAGCTTCATCCTGCCGTTGGCCTCTGGTGCAGCCCTAGTGTCCACCAGGGAAACACAGCACCCTCACCACAACAGTGCTGGGCACAGACACACTACCTTCTAAACCTTCCATGCCCCAGGAGCATCTGCACCTGCCAGCCCTTGACTGCTGTAAAAGGTTGAGACAAAAGGGTTATCAGGGTTGTAGAACTATAGGCCAGGAAGGCATTCTGTAGGCTCCAGCTACCAGAACAGCATCCACAGACCCTGAAGTTTGCACAGCAGAAATTCACTTCTCACACCTTTAGGGCTGCAGTCGGAGCTCTGCCGGTTCATCCCTGGCACGGGCATTCCTCCTGGCTGGTACACCATGGCTTCTGCTCTGCCTTGTTCACAAGGGGCAAGACAGAGAACTCTGGTCCCTCCCACCTGGTACAAACATTAATCGAGTCATCAGCCCCAGCCTCCCAGCTACCCAAGGGACTCACTTCCAAATGGAAGGTCAGGGCTTAAGCATGAGCATTTGGGGCAACACTGCAGTCCAGAGGGGCTAATGTTGCAAATCCTTCTGAACAACCCTTTGTAGGCCATTATCCCTACAACAGGGGGCGATAAAGTCCTCTGTGCAGAGTGGAGACACATGGGTCCCTGGAGTCCTTGGCTTGGTCTCTCCTTAGTCCCATCCTGAGTCTGTCTATATTTCAGCACACAGTGTGGATCTGCCTTTGACAGAGTGGGGTTCCTTCTCCTCATCTTCAGCCAGTCTTGATTGGATGTAGTTCCATACTACATGACAAAGTTCAGGGTTAGCTGAATGCCCAGTTAAACAAGGGGTGCCAGGCTAATTCCTCTGCATCCTCCCAAACACATGCACACCCACAAGTATGTAATTATCTGCCATTTATTCAACTGCCCAAGGATAGACTAGTTTCCATGGTGATCCCCCTCTCTGAGGAGATGCTCAAATCAAGGAGTAACCAACTGGCATCTAGTGGGACCTTTTGTTTTCCAGTGAACTCTGAGACAGATGCTCATATTGTTTCAGGTTGCTCAGGATGTGGGGGGTCTCACATTTTAATAGAAAATCAACATACTTGATCAACAAAGTTCAGATATCTTTTTCTCTGTTGTTCCCATCCACTCTCAAATCAGATCCTGGAGTTGGGAAACCCACCTAGCTCTGGCTAACTTCCTCCCAGGTCCTGAGTGCCTTGTGCAGATGTGGAGAGAGGATGTCAGCCCAGCCCCCGTCTCCTGATGAGGAATTGTCACATCTTCCTCCAGCTCCATCCAGCCCAGCATTGGTTACCATGAGAAAGGGCAACTGGGTGCAGAATGGTGTGCTGGCTCCTGTCATAGGATCCCCTCCTCTCCACACTGAGCTGTGACACTTAGATCAGTGTCCCCACCACTCCCTCTCCTTCCCAGCTATCATGAGACATCATTCCTCCCCTGCTGTATCTCTCCTCCTTTCCTTCATGGTTCACCAAAACCAGGAGGATTGCTTGCTTGAGATGGGAAACTGAGCCAGTGGGCAGGATGGGAGAGAGCTGGCTTCCTGGGAAGGTAAAGAACTCATCTGACTATCCTTTTTCCATTCTAAATGTCGTAAAGCTGACGAGCTGTCCTCCTCCTGACTTTCTCAACCCAGCATTGAGCTTCAAAGTTGCTAGAGTCCCACACTGGGAGTCTCCGGGGAAGATTCTGCAAAGCGCTCTCTGGCACAAGGGCACTTACTCTTCTTGTCTCTGTTCTCTTCCTTCACAGGCGGGCAGTGAGAATCCCAGCATCTCCCTTCATGTCATCGGCCTAAATGGACCCACTCACGACCTGGAGATGATGCCACCAGATGACCCCCGGATGAGGTTTGTCCCTTCACTTCTGGTACACATAGTTTCCATGGCATATTCAGGGTCAGACTTGTTTTACTGCTGACTTAAGCACTCGAGAATTGGATATACTTTCTAAAGTGTTTCTTGCTGGTGGATGATTCAGTTTTCTGGGGAAAAAAGCAGAACACAAACTAATCAATAAGCATTACTGCTTCTTAGCTGACACCAGGAGTACGCCGCCCCATACCTGGCAGGCCCTTAGTGACATCCACAGGGTACCCTGGAACAGGTCTTCCTCCCATGAATGCCAACACAACCAGACTCTCTGTGAACAGAGCTCACTTTAGAGCAGTGGCTCCGGGGATTTCCGTGGCTGGCTGTGTATTGGGTCCTGTTCTACCCCTGCCACATAGGGTAACTGTGCAATTGGTGGAAACAATCCGTGTTACTGATATTAATTGCAACTTCTGGCTTGAGTAGGTTTTTGGCTAAATTGGAACAACTGAGTAAGATTTATTTAAGTGGTATGTTCTGAATATCAGCTCAGTTTTGCTCCCCAAATCCAAGCACCTGGCTTGGTTACACCACCCTGGCCCAGTTATGTCACCGTTAAGCCTTTCTCTGTGGAGATGGTTAATGGAAGAGTCAGAAATAGCGGGACCATGGCTCAGGACTGCGCTCATTTATAAACCCTGTGACTCCATTGGTAAGGCTGTTCAAGTCAACAGTGACTCCTTCTGGTCTTAGCAAATATTCAACCTGCATTTTGCCACACCCACTAGCCCCGGCTTCATGATTCAGTCACAGAACTCCCTACCATCAGAAGCTTCCAAAAGGAGGCGAGCTGGGGCCCCGCTAGCTCAGGTCTGGCTCAGAAAGGGTAGCTAGTACTCTGAGTGGTGTTTTCCAGCAGTGGCATCTGCTTGTCCTCATCCTGGTCCTCGGTCCTGCCCAGTGAAGAGCTTCTGACTCTCATTTCTCCAGCTTCTGACTTCGCCTTTCTCCAGCATAAACTGCTGCAGACCAGGCACAGAACCCCAGTGCTCTGTGAAAGCCGGTGCTGCCTTTCTGTCCCTGCCCTGAATTGTCCTCTCCACTCTACAGAGGGTCCTAGAGAGCTTCTCCTATGGGGGGCTCTAGCCAGCTATTGACCCTGGCCCCAAGCAGCTGTCCCTGACCACCTGACTGCTGGAGCATTCCTGGGAAGGCTTCCCTCGATGCACACTGGCTTGGGGATATTGGATCAACTTGGTTGCTGATTCTTTCACTGCCATAAAACGACATTCAGATTATGGCTTTGGCTTCTGTCCTGAAGATCTGCATATTTCACTGTTTCCCTCACAGCCCCTTCCCTTCCAGCCTCCTGGGGCCTGGTCCAGCCAACTCACTGAATTAATATGGAAAGTCACCTGGAAAATTTCAGCCATCTGTTTGAGTTAATTGAAAGTCTCGTTTAGTCAATTTGGTGATGCTGTTTCCGCAGGCATGATTAGCTTCAAGGACAATGAAAAATTAGCCTCAGTGAGGACTTGAAGTTCAGGCGTTGGGATCCAGGTCTTCCCTTGCTCTAATTTCCGAGGCTCAATGCAGTAATTCAATTCTTAAGCAACATGGGTTTGTGATACACAGATCTCACACCATGTCCTGCTGTGTCTCTGTCTCACATGCTTGAGATTTTTTTTTTAAGTGGGCACAGATATATCAGAAATCAGAATTGCAAGCAGACACTGAGGATCTGCAGTCACGAAGCTGAGTACTAAGACTTTAGTGGTAAATGGAACCCAGGCTTATGAGGAAGAAGGAGCCACAGAACTGGAACAAATCATTTAAGCTGGGAGATAGAGAGGCTTGGCTGGGCCATGGAGATGTGCACTGCAGCGGCCACCTCCCTGCAGATGACAGTGTCGGTGTAGGCCAGAATTTCTCAGCCTCAGCACTGGCAAATATCCACCTCCAACTGCCCCAGGCATCAAGTAGCGCAGTACCACCTGTGCCCTAAGCCCATCGGATGCACGTCCACCATAGACAGCAGGCTGTGTTTTTCACAGTTTGGATTCACAGTTGATTGACTCTGGAAATGGAAACCGGAAGATGTGAAGGGCTGAAACATCACCCTTCCCAGCCCCACCTGGAACACAAAGCTGGCCAGGCAGGGAGCCCATCCACATGTGCCTGGCTGCCTCTGGTTCTGCGCTGGGGCTGCCACTCAGTCCCCACGCATCTGCTGAATGAATAAATGAACCTAAACATTCACCATAAACATTTTGTTTCAGATTTCTTCAGTGGCTCTGGTTCATGTCTAAGGACCATTTGAAGTGTTTAGCCACTGATGACTTCTCCCTGCCTCAAACAGAGACCACTAAAGGCACCGATGAAGAAAAGACAAAACTCAGACAGCTGCTTTATGGCGGAGGTTGGGGAGATGTTGCAAAAGGCTTACACTAAATATGAAAAGACCTAGAGCAAATACACCTCAGACATCTAGGAAGGGCCGATGCAGAGATGCCTGAGCATCCACGGCTCAGGTCCAACCCAGCCCTTGCTCTCAGGGGCCCCTCATGACACTGCAACTCGAATCAGGGCTTTAGAGTCCCTCTACTTAGCCTTGGCTGAAGCACCTGGAGACTCAGAGCTGGTGGCTCCTGCCATGGGGAGCTCACTGTCCAGAAAACTGCAAGCACCGCAGGCTGCCAATCACAAAGAACTAGAAGGCTTTGTGGAAGCAGAGGGCTCTGGCAGGAAGCAGAGGGAAGTCTGTAGAGCAGTCCCACTGATGCCTCAGATCCAGGAGACACTGATTGGGAAAACAATTCCAGCGCATGCAAGAGAACTGAGAACAGCGCTTCTGTGGGGCTGAGCACCACACTGGTGTGCAAAGACAGTGGCCCAGATGCCCCCTTCGTCCAAGAACAGTAGTTACAGGGCACCTGTCCAGGGAGAAAGCAGCAGGGAAATCATCAGGCACCGCTGGTGCTGCGGCCTCTTCAGCCGCACACAGCACCCAGCTGTGCTGCTAAAGCAAACACACTCTGTGCATGCTTCCCTCGGCCCTTTCCGGAGCTGTTCGGCTCAGTGCTGAATTGAGATACAGTAGATACCCAGGGGTGTCATCCTAAAGACATGTCGCACTGCTCTGATGTGTGTTTACTCCCCTCTAAACATTCTATTGCAGAGTAAACACCTGAGGGCCCTGGACTTTTGGCAACGCCAGGTGAGAAAGGAATTGCTGGTCCCAAAAAAGAGACAGCTCTGGCTCTGCACTGGGTCATCCAAGAACCATCGCTGGCTCGCGGCCCCCACCAGCCATGGCCCCACGTGCAGAGCACAGCCGTGGGCTCTGCTCACCTCCTCTGCCGTTTACTTACGTTGATACCAAGGGCCTCGGGGCTGCTCGGGTCTGGTCACTCACTGCATAGCTGTGTGGCCTCGAAAGGCTGCATGCGTTTGTTGCTTTGCTCTGTCTCAGCCTTGCTCCCCTTCTAGGCCCCTATCAGGAGTCTGGGGGTGCAGCTCTTTCCTGTGTATCTGTGCAGACATGGATTACTATGTGTTCATGGATTGATACCTTTACATGAATGGAATTTCAATATAGATATGTGTATTATACAGATGTAAGCAGAAGTATAGATACAGGTGTAAATAATGATTGAAGATGTAGCTATTGATATTTTTACAGACACAGATATGAATGTATGTATTTACATTTATACAGGTATAAACATGGGTCTGCGTGGATATGGGTACAGAAACACTCCTGATAGATACACCTATAGATACAGATACAGACATAGAGACAGGTGTAATTATATCTACACAGACAGCTCTGTTCTCTCCCTGTCCCCCTCCAGCTATGCAAGGACCTCATGAGGCCATTTGTGTATGTCCAGCACATAGGTCTTCACTGTATACAGTGGAACTAGTGACTCTAGATTGCTGCCAACCCCCAGCCAGCTGCCACTGCCCAGGCAGGCCCATGACATGCATGTGACACACTGACTGAGGTGTAAAAGTCAGTCATCTTCCAAGGTAAATAAAGCGTGGCGTGTTGGCTCGTCCTCCTGGGAATGGAAGGCACAGATCACCGGAGCAGGGGAGACATCACAGAACAATGGGGTTCCCATACTTGGGGGTCTAGGTCTCCTCCACCATCGCCTTTGACATTGCACCACTACCTCCTTCACTGTCATTGCCTGAATTCACCACCACATCTGCCTCCTCCTCTCCACCACCTGCCTACGCCTTCTCCACCATTCCGCCTCCATCCACCTCCACCTCTAACCTGCCATGTGTCCCTTTGTGCTCAAGCATCCAGGTACAAGGGACTTTAGGGTCCACAGGCAATATCCTTCTTCTTCCTGCTTTCCTTCATCAGGGTGTAGCCAGTAGGGTCTTTCAAATGTCCTCCATGTCCCAAAGTGAAGCAAGATGGAGTGATCCTCCTTTGCACAGTGCCCTCACCTGGAGTGGAAGAGCAGAGGCGCCTGGTAGGCACTGTGAGCCCTCAGGCATTGCCTGAACATAGAAGGGCTTGCAAGCCCATGATGTGAGCTCTGTTGTGAAGCAGGAGGACTAAAGAAAGTGTCAAAGTAAGTGTCACCCCATGACCAGGGAGTGGTATGGACACTGAGAAGCTGGCCAGGGACCAGTCAAAGCCTGGTGTGGCCAAGGCAAATTGTGATCTGTGCTCAGCGAGTCACAGCTGTGCAAGAAGGCATAGAGGAGATGGTGCTTCTGGGCATCAGCAAGGACTCACTGAAGAGCCAGGTAACCATTTGGTCTGCCCAGGCCCCACAGAATCCTTCAGGTCCCCCTCTGCAGGAGGAGGACCCTGGGTCCCCTGATACATCAGGGCCTTCCTGGCCATGAGCACACAGGCTCAGTTCTTTTCTCTGGCACTCTACAGGCTCCATGATGCCAGAGTCAGAGCTGACTGTCCGTGAGGCAGCACCTGGTGGAAGAAGCGGCTGCTGGGGGCAGAGGGGATCCACTCCTGCCAACTGGTGCTATGGCAGGAAACAGGGCACACCTAGTAG